TAAGCTTGGAAGACATTAAATTGCTCCACGGAACTCCTGCAATCCTGCTCCCAATGACCTACAATACCACAATTTTCACAGAAAGGCTCATTAGAATTATTATTAATTGCAGAAACATTGGCTACATTATCAGTGCTCAGGTTATCTAATTTTTGGCAAATAGAGGTTAGTTGAGCTTGCAAAAAGGATACAGGGTCGACACTATGCTTCCCCTTGTTAGCAAATCCTCTAGGATTCCCATATTGGGAATTATGTATCTCCATGTCTTCAATAACCTGACCTGCATCATCAAAATCAAGATTCATAAATCTTCCACTAGCTGCAGAGTCTAAAATTATTCGAGAATAATTTCCAAGGCCATTATAGAAGGCTTGGATTAACTGCCATTGCGCTAAATTATGGTGGCGGCAATCTCTTTGTAAATCCTTGAATCTCTCCCAAGCCTCATATAAAGATTCATCGGCTTCTTGGGCAAAGTTCTGGATTGCACTCCGTAGTACGGCTGTTCTCTCTGCAGGGTAATACTTGTTATAGAAATTCAAAACAAGAGTTTCCCAGTCAGTTATACCAAGTGTAGTTCTATTTAAGCCATTAAACCACAATTTAGCTTTTCCAGTTAAAGAGAAGGGGAAGAGAATCTCCCTGATTTGGTCTTGAGTGACCCCGGCTTGCCTGCTGGTGTTGCAATATTGACAATAGTCGGCAATGTGAAGATTCGAGTCTTCACCCTTGGCTCCACTGAATTGCTTCCTCTCTATCATCGTTATAAATTGAGGTTTGATTTCAAATTGAACCCCATCAAGAGCCGGAGTAGGGGTGAGATGTGGAAAATCCGTAAGCTTTGGTTGTGAATAATCACTAAGCTTCTTTGGAGCCGTCATCTCTGATTCTGCGTCTGATGATGTCTCTAAATCACTGGAATCAGTTGGAGGATCGCGGTGATTATTGTTATTATCACCAGAATCCGCTAGGATTTTCTTGTAGAGATTTTTCTGTCTATGAAAGGAACGTTCGATCTCAGGATCGAATGGGATGTAACCTGATCTGGAACACCTGGGCATAAACAAAAACTAGAAGCAAATAAGAGATTTTTCTCAGAGAAATAACGCTCTCTGAGACAAAAGGGAAATAATCTAGACTACAAAAACAATCAGAATTAAAAATAAAACCGTTTCCCCGGCAACGGCGCCAAATTTTGACACGGTAAAGTCGTATCCCCTAATCAAAAGTAAATACCTAAATCCTTTAACTACAGTAGATAGGGAAGTAGGGTCGATCTCCACAGGGAAACAAGTCTTTTTACTCCTTATTAATTATTATAATCTAAATTATAAAGTAACCAATATATTGTAATTAAAGGAAACTAAACTAGGAAGATTAAGAGTAGGGAGAAAACAATGAATAAAAGGATCTAGGGCATAGGTTCACCAATATATAATACTCCAGGGTAAAACATAGAAATCAATCATTGACATTGCATAAATAACACGATTAACAGGCTCTCGCAATTTATTAATCAACATAGATCTAACAGGCTCTCGCAATTTACTAGATCTAAGTTCTTATTGAAAATAGCCTTTAATATCAAATTAACATCTGCTCGATTCATCAATTTAATATTACTATACTTTTACAAGCCGCAATTGTAAAACGTTAAAACAATTCAATAAGAAATTATCATGCAATACCAATAATCAATAATAGTCAATCATCAATGCATCAATCAACCACATTGTAAAGGGCTTTCGCTACGTATTACAATCACATAATTAATTTACCGGTATTAAATCTCATCTGTCAAATCTCGACTTAACCATTTATAAATTAATATGCCTATTGAAACTAGACCTAAACATCAATTCTTATCTGTCGAATCTCGAATCAATATTGTTAAACTCATGCATAAAAGATTTGCGCAAATCTAGTCACAAAGCGTTAAATCAATCAATAGGAAATTAATCTAGCATTGATAATTAACAACAATAAATTACCCCTTCATATTATTTATGGATCCCCATGAACCCTAGAAATAAAACTACTCACACATAATTAAATCTAAACTAATCAAAGCAACAAAATAAGTCATGATGAAGGGAAATAAGATTAAGAGAAGAGAAATCGTTACCAAACTAATCTGTATTAATGGAAATAATCAAGAACAAGAGTTGAGAGAAGAGTTAAGAGAGAGAAAAGATCCTAAGTAGAGAGAGAAAGTCTAAGAAAGAAGGTTTCCTAGTAATTCCATACAAAATCGTATTTAAACGTTTTCTAAAACAAGAATTAAAACTAAATATCATCAGGTCTTCTAAAAACGCGCGCCCGATCGGGAGCGCCTTTTTCTTCGCGTTCTTCCCAAGCAGCATTGCCCGATCGTGCTAGATGCTCGCACGATCGGGCGCGCCTTAGCATGCACAACACTATGGTTTGCCGCGCCCGATCGGGATAGAGGTTGCCCGATCGGGTCTTTGCTCCTCTTGAGGCTTAAACTTCGATAAGGCTAGATTTCTCGGCCCAATCTGGATTTCCTCTCGGGTCTCGAATACTTGGTCCAAATGCCTCGGGATCCGAATTACCGAGCCCTTAATCACCGGCTCTCACCGATCCTGGGCTCCAAAAGTGGTCGTGTCCTAGCTTCCGTAGTTAATCCATAAAGCCCGGGAAAATGCTCCAAGAGTGAAATTTCCTGTAAAATACAACTAAAACTACGAAAACACTAAAACACCCAAATTAGTAATAAAAGTGGCCCGAAAGAGCCAAAAACAATACTAATAACGACCAAGGGACCGGGGTAAAACACTATATAAAATGGACATATCAATCTTGCCTAGTCACAGGTTGCTGATTTCCTTGATCAACGGGTTGTTCAATCTCCATGTTGTCACCTTCATCTTCACGGTTTGATTGCGGGTTGTTCCGCGGCTGACGAGGTGGTCGTGACTGGCCTTGAGTTTGATTCTGCCCACCAGCGTTTTGGGAAGGATCGGTTCGACGGGTGGTGACCATGACTTTTGTTTAACGTTTCCCCACAGACGGCGCCAATTGTTTATGCAAAAGAATTTCAGATCGAAGTTGAAGGGGAACCTGCTCGTCTGGTCAAACCGAGTCCTACAAAACATTGAAAGTCAACTGCCTCGGGGGGTGTTCCCGAGAAAGCCCCTCCGACGGTTAAGTTAATAAATTGTGTTTAGAGAGAGAATTTGTAGAGAGAGAGAATTAATTACCTCGCTAAACTGTGAAGATTATCATTTATAGGAGAGGATTAACTAACTTGATTAGGGTTAGGATTAGGGTTTTTGGCCGTTCTAGGCCGTGTTAGGCCCTGTTGGGCTATATTAGGGTTTCTCGGGATGCATGCTGTGCATGATGATTTAATTTTCCTATTTGGGGTTTAACTAAGGGCATTTTGGTAATTTATGTATTTAATGAACGTGGGCCCACAGGGGGTCCAAACAACTACAAAAACATATTTAACTTAAATTACTAAACTAAAATTTATTTTTTCTTAATAAATTTAACTTACTTTTACTAAATTAAAATTATTTTTGTTGAATACTACTTCATTGATTTCTTTTTACTTCGATTGATCGATCTATAGTTACCTGACACGCAAATACGCAATTCAACGAAGAAACTAAAATACAAATTATTTTTTTTAATACAAAAACATTAGGGTTTCCTGTTCCTAAAAAATTTATATTGACTTATTTTTTTCCTTATTCATATACTTAATTGACCATTGTTTTTCAGTAATATATATTAAAAATAAATTAATCATGAAATATATTGTTTAATGTGTATAAATATAAAGTTTTATAATATCAACTTTTAATAATTTTTACTAATATTTTATCATATATGCTTAAGGTCAAACTAGTGCATTGACATTTGTGCTAAGTTTGACATGTCAATTAGTCGAGAATGAAGGGGTGGTTCATTTTTATTCAATTTTTTCTTTAATTGTTCACTTAAGTTGTGTGCCAAAGGGCTATAGATCAAGCAAAATAAAGGAAATGTATTTATTTTAAGGTGACCAAAAGTCGAAAACATGAACTAATGGAGTTAGAAGTTGGTCTAATTAATTATTTTACAAAATTTCAAGTTCACAGAATCTAAAGGATAGTGTATTTTTTCCCCCGATAAAGATGCTTGAAATTATTATAATTTTGACTGTGTGGATATTTGTTACTCACATATGTAAGGGTTCGGATTACTTTTTACTATTCTCACATGATCCTATATTTCTAAGTCTATACACACACTTTGAAATTTGTTATATACAATCGAGTGCATTGTATTCACTCAATCCCTCAAATCCCTTCTCTCATTTAATTTCCTTCCAAATGTTTCTATCCAAACATATTTTAGGAGACTTGCATATCTAGCAGACTAGCACGTAGTTATTTTAAGGTGCCTAAAATAGCTTGCCAAATAGATTTAAAGGAAGGGTTTTTCTAAGCTATATCCCCAAAGTTATTGAGTTTCTAAGGTGTGCCCATGCTTTTTTAAAATTATAAGATATACCCTCCAACATAAGGTGTTTATTCAACCGTACCCTATAATAACGCTAATCCAATGTTAGTAGTTGTGTTAACGGTTCATTACCACACTTAAAAGAGAAATTTCACGCCCAAATTGGGGTAGAGTTATATAAGTAGGTTAACATTTAACGTTTTTTTCCAAATTTTCCCATCTGCTTTTCCTTCTTTCTTCTAAAAGCAACCATTTATATATCAAGCTCTCGGTGTATTTCTTATACTTTTTTCTCATCCACTTCTTTATTACTTCCTATTTATTTACAATTCTAACGTCGAGTTTAAGTCAGAGGGTATGGTTAATTAAACAACTTAAGTCGGAGGGCACAACTTGTAATTTTGAAAAAACACGGGCACACCTTAAAAACTCAACAACCTTGAGGGCATAGCTTAGAAAACCCCCCCCCCCCCTTTTTTTTAATTTTTTCCTTTTTAATTATCTTGAATGTAACAAGCCGCAACAAGTTATACAGGTAAACAAGAAATATGACAACATATAGATTACAATTTACAATTATACAATGTGAAACACTCTTTTCACTATGGTATAAGTGTATAACTGTACAAGTACAAATCAATAGACATATATTACAATAATACAATGTTAAAACACTTTTTTACGCAATATGGTATAAGTACAAATCAATATAGTATTTTATTTAATGGTAAGAAAAATAAAATATTAGATATGTGCTTGTATTCTAAAGTATTACGGTCCATGCACTAACGTGGAAGAGTTGGTATACTTTGCTCATTCCTAAAGAAGTTATCAGGATCAACCATGGTCTTAATTTTCACCAACCTATCAAAGTTATCCTTGAAATATTTCACCCCATATTTTTTACCTTCAATGTAGCTTCTTGTACCTTGGTGATTAATCCCCAAGTCAATGTCTCGATAATTAAGAAAAGCTTCTCTTGGATTTTTTGAAACAAAAGGAGTCATGTAGGTATGGAGTTTTCTTGTCAAGTCTATATAGTACTTTGATCTATCATTGTCTTCTTCGTTCCAATTAGTCGCGTATTGAAGCTTGAACATGTTCCCGGCCCTATGAGGGAATGGTGTCGCATCAGCCGGTATCTCTGCCATTTGGCCTCCATAAGGGTTAAACGTGAGTTGAGGCGTTTGTAGTTCAACCATTAGCTTCCATAACCCTTCTAACCCGTATCTTGGAATTGGCTTCTTCAAATAGTCGGACTTTCTTTTGAGGGAAGTTAAACTTGAAGGGTGCCTATCTAATAAAGTCGAAAGTGGAGTTCCCATAGCAAAGTCATAATAGAAAAGGACAGATCCAATCCAACTCATTTCAAGGCAATCCGACTTTTCTAGGCCTAACAAGGGAAAATTCTCTTGTACTAGGGATAAAAGGGATTGAGTGTCACCTAAAAATAAGCATCTAAATGTTGCTTGGTTTGTCAAAAGGCCGGTTTTGGTCGAGTTTGTAACACCTAGGGTAAGCCTAATGAAGGCATCACAGTCCAAATTTGGAGCAACATGTTGATATTGATCAACAATATCAGTTAGGTTTTGGTCTAGTGTCCTTGAAACCCTAAAAACAGTGACTTTTTTAGGTACTTTAACCAATTTTATCTTATAGGAAAGGATAACACAATAACTCGAACCACCACCACCTCGAATAGCCCAAAAGAGATCCTCTCCCATGGTTGTGCGATCAAGTATTCTACCATTGACATCCACAACTTTGGCATCAACAAGATTATCACTTGTAAGGCCGTATTTTCGCATTAAATTACCATAACCTCCTCCGGTGATGTGCCCTCCAGCACCAACGGTAGGACAAACTCCTGCAGGGTAAGCATGGGTGTCACTCTTGTTCGCGATGTTGTAGTATACTTCACCTAGGAGAGCCCCGGCATCCACCCAAGCAGTCTCATCCTCGATGTTTACATCAACTGAACGGAAGTTGAACATGTCAACCACGAAAAAAGGGACTATAGAGACATAGGATAGCCCCTCATAGTCGTGGCCTCCACTTCGGACCTTCATCTCAATACCGGTCTCCTTGGCACACAAGATCGATGCTTGGATGTGAGATACATCGGTAACTGTCACAATAAGCAAGGGTTTACGAGTTGTGGAGGTATTAAAACGAAGATTTCGTACGTAGGATTGTAGAACATTAGAGAAGGATGTATTTTGTGGTGCATAAATGAGGGATGATATTGGGTAGGATTCAAGAGAATGGCTAGTAAGACATTTTATTAATCTATCTTGAATATCATCATTTTGATTTGAAACTATATTTGCATTACTTTTAGTAACAAGAGTTGATACAAAAATTACGGCTAGAAAAGAAAGAAATGTGAAGATACGAACCTTCATGTTTGTATTGTGTTGATACTTACACAAATATATGATATAATTTTGGTTTTTTGTGTTGTTTATGTTTTTTGTGTTGTTTATAATGATCAAAGCTTTGTTATTTATAGAAAAAAAAAAAAATCAAGGAAGAAGTAATTGTATGAATAAGGTTTAAGATATATCCTTGAAATTTTTGTAAGTTTAATTGTTAAGAAGTTGGTTTTGAATTACGGCTAAATGTAATTTGACCAAGAAACTAATCAAATTTCACGTAGAAAATGGCGTTGAATTCCAAATTGTAAGGATGACAAATATTGGGGTACCGTAGTTGATTATTCTTTATTTGAATTTTATTATTTCACGTGGGATAAGATTAATTAGGTAGCAAGAAAATGACTGCATGATTTTGATTAGAATTATTTGATCAATCATATATTTGATATAAAGTCATATGCTTACATGCACAATTAAAGAATCAGAAATTTAAGTTGTGTACAAGTCATTGCTTTGCATCTAAATTATTTAATTTTTGAATCATTTGACTGGAATTCCCTTTATATTCAACAGAGTACGTAACTATATCACAAATAAACACATTTTTTTTAACAAAGAGTTCTATAAATGAAAAGCAAAATTACAACCTAAACTAAGTAAAGAAAGCAAGATTACCCGATAGAACATTAGGGGTCGGACTATACAACTTCTATTCGTAACACGTTATTCGTAACGGGCAGTTGAAATAACCTGTTACGAATCTTTTATTTGTAACGGGTTATTTGTAACGGGCATTTCAACTGCCCGTTACGAATAACTTGTTATTTGTAACGGACACTGCCCTTTACAAATAACACTGGCTATCCGTAACGGTGGCATACGTAACGCCCGCTGCCCGTTACAGATAGGCCTTTTTTGCCTGTTACGGATAGGTATTTTTCCACTAGTGTCTTTTCCCTATTTTTTCCTAACTTACTACCTTTATCTTCCTTCCTACAATGAACATAATCTCTAAACTTCTCATTCTCCTGTGTTACTGCAAGAGCCTCATCAACGAAATCCGGAGACCAACCTAATAAGGATATCACCTCCTTTAGTTATTGTTTGAACTCACAATTTTTAGGATCTAACTTAAGGACTTGTGCAAGATCCATGAAAGCTAAGGTATGTTTATTAAGTTCTAACGCCGCAATCGCTCTTCTAAAATAAGCTTTTACATTAGTAGTATCAAAACACAAAACCACGGAACAAAATTGACCCACTCTGTCATAGTCTTTCATCTTGATGAAGCAAGCACCCAAGTTTAGATTAAGGGACACAGTTATGCCCGAAAACATCAATTTATCCCCACCACTACAAACAAAAGCAAAGGACAAAATCTTAAGAGCAAGAGAGTATTTTGCAATAGCAGACCCCATTTGATTTTGCTTGTAGAATATGTTTCCCTCATCTTTTAAACTGTTTACAAAATTGAGAACATCAAAAGGATTCTCCAACCGCCCAACCATAAACTCCAACTCATGAGAAGAGATATCATTGTCTTCGACATGTGAAATACACAACATCCCCCTTAGTTCCTTAAAGCTAGCCATTAAAGAAACTTTAAACAAACAAATTAAAACACCAAAGGCAAAGTTGAAATCAACTACTATGCTTTCCTTAATTACATACAAGTACTAACCATACCAAGAAGAAAAGAAAGTCAACGATGAAGGTACCGAGCACTCTGTTTTGTCTTCATCGACATTACAAAAGATGCAACAGGTGGCTTGAAGAAGACTCTTATCTAGCACACCTGTGAACCATGAAACAAACGCCTAAAGAGAAGGAAGAAAAATCCCCAAATTGAAATCCTAACCCTATCGATATATATACTTCGAAAAACCGAAGCTTATGGTGTCTAATCTACCACAACACATTCGAAGACTGCTCGCCGGCGACCTTATAAGAGCAGCGACGCTCAGGCCACCGGCGACAGGGGACAAACACGGGGGTGGGACTGTGGCTCTGTTTTGAGGAGAGAAGGAAGAGTGTTTTGAGGAGATTAGCGTTTTGTTGATACAAAAAGATATATCTACTCTGAGTAGTATGTGAATAAACACATGCTTCATCAGCTATTTTCATAATGTCAATGGCATAGTTTGACCTTAGGCCCTGTTTCATTCGCCTTATTTCCACTTATTTTAGGGTTAATAAATTTAGATAAGTTCAAAAAAGGGTCAATAAGTTCAGATAAGATAAGCTCAGGAAAAATAAGTTCAAATAAATTCAGATAAGTTGTGATAAGGGTTAATAAGCTTAGATAAGATAATATAAGTTTAGATAAGTGAAAATCAAGTTAATAGAACACACTCTTAATACGTGTAATTATAAATTAATAAAAATTATAAAAATGATATTTATACTTAATTAATAATATATAATACGTAGTACTATTTAAAATACGGTATGAGTATTAACTTAGGGCTTGTTCACATTTACTTAATTTCAGTTCAGTTCAGCTCTAATCAGTTCAGTTCAGCTCTAATCAATTCAGTTCAGTTCAGTTCAACTCCAATCAGTTCAGTTCAATTCAGCTCCTAATTTCCCTCTCTCATAAAATATTCATTTCAGCTCAGTTCAGTTCAATTTAGCTCCAATCAATTCAGTTCAACTTAGTTCAGTAAATGTGAACAAACCCTTAATTGATAAGCTATCTATAATCCGCCAAAAAAAATAAGAAGTAGGTTAATTGAATTCATAATCAATCATCTGCTAGGTTTCGTGGTAAGTTTTCACAAAATGTCGGCATCACTTTTTTTTTTTTTTTTTTTGACTTTTGTAATTAAACATATGATGGTTGACTGCAAATAGAAAATATATATGTATATGATGGTTGACTGCAAATAGAAAATATATAAGTATATTTATCTTTATTATTTATTAAATATAAGTTTGCGTATACCCGTAATCTATCATACATTATTAACGATGATTTTATTGAAATAATTGACCTGGGACTTGGACTATGTTTTAGCTAAGGTGTAGAACTCTAATAGCAATCTCAATTTTTCATGCTGACACTAAAATGTCGTATGGCCTGGGTATGCTCATTACAGCGAGTTTCATGGCACGTACCGTAATTTTAACTATTGATCATAAAAAAAAAAAAACCTAAACAGATTATGTAATTTTAACTACGAACAAAGTTGATCAAAATATAGTAGCCCTACACTAACACGATTCTTCTATTCACTAAAAATATTATGTATCCCAACGTTTATAATTTTTCTATCAATATAAACAGATTTTTTTTTTATCTTTTTTTTTTTTTTTTATTTTTTTTTAGAAAAAAGATATGATACAAGGTACAAACTAGTTCAATGAAATTATAGTTATGACTCTGAAAAACCAAGGTATCCTTTATAACAGTGAGGTCAGTTTGTTAAATACGGGTATGGACCGTATCCGTCACGGAAGAGTGCAAGTCTATCATTTTACAAGACTAAGGAGGTTTACCTCAAAACCATATGACAATAGGTGTAGCGGCTTATAAATTGTTTAATTCTCTCTCTTTCAACCAAATATGAGACACTTACATGAGGTGCTATTTGAAAGGGCTATTCTTTAACACTCCTCCTCACATGTAAGGTCCCTTTTTATCTTTGTCTCATGTGATTTTTTAGGCTAGAATGTTTTTTACTCCCCCTTACATGGACCAACTCTTGGCCCATTGAACTTTAGCCATTTAAGGTCCCATATCGTAGGCTTGACTCTGATACCATGTTAAGTATGAGTTTGGCCATACCCGCAAGCCAAGAGAGAGAGTTCACTTTACAAGTCCAAAGGAAGGTCCATTCCAAAACTATATGTCAATAGGAGGAGTAGCTCCTTAGTCTTATAAAGTGTTTAACTCTCTCTTTTTCAATCAATGTGGGACATTTACATGTGATGATAGTTGAGCGATCTATTCTTCAACACTAGGTCAAGGGTTGCGTGGACGCAGACCCCGTTATCACAAATTATGACATACACTTTTCCTCTTGGGAAGATGTTAGGCTAGTGCCCCTCCTAATGTGCAATGGAGGCCACCAACCTAGGCCATGAGCCTTCTTGATCCCCCATAGACCCTGTCAAGGTAAGTGGACAAATAAAGGAAAGAAATTTAAAATAAAAATTACTCCATATATGATTTAGAGTACTAATTGATTTTTTTACAAATTGAAAACACACTCATCATTGATACTTCTACTCAAAATAATTTCACTTTTAAAAGTTTTTTTTTCCGTATAAGTTATTTCACAAAAAAAAAAAAAATGTAGAAAGTAATAGCACACTATGTAACTTAAAAGTCCTCACCAGTTAGGAGATTTAAAGGTTTTTGTAGCAAAGCAATGAACAGACTCAAAATTCTATGTAGTTTCTCAGTCTACCTCTCCTACACCTACAATCCAGTCCATTTTCATTCTTGTGGTTTCAAATTTTCAATGAACGCACTCTTTTTTTAATCTAAACGCGGCCCATTTCTCCTAAATATTTTTTTTTAAACTTCTTCTAATACCTCCATTTCATATCATTAATCGCTGCAAATAATATGAGATGAAGGTAATAATATATGAAGTATTTTTTTTTTTATCCCAACTTTTAACTTTAGGAGTATTTTCTTTTATGAATTCCATATCCTTTTCTCTCTCCATTGTTTCATTGATAGGCGTGGAAAAAAGGGTGGTTTTGGTGGTAAGGGAAGGAAGGGGATAATGTTATATTAGTCATTTGAAATATAATTACCATATTATTTTAATGATAAACAATATGATCGGTTTATTTTTTTTACACTACTACAAAAAAGGCCTTAGAGAATTGTTATAACAGGCTTTATAGATCGCCTTAGGGGCGTTCTTCTGCTAAGCGATGTATAAAGTATAGAGAACGTGTTGTGTAGGCGTTTTATATAATAACAATTAGAGAACGGTTGTTAGTACACCAAGGAAGGAATACATAACGGTTTAGGCCACTTAACCGTTCTATATTGCATTACAATAGAGAACGGTTAAGTTAGAGAACAGTTCTCTAATGTTTTTTATTTTATTTTATTTTTTATTTTTTTTATTAAATCCGGCCATCTGTATTTAACTATTCGAATTACCCC